GTCAGCTGGGCAGTTGTCTGTGCTGTGATGAGCTTTTACTATCTTAATAACTATCCCATTTGAAGAGAAACTTGAGCCTACTGGCAGTGAGGGTACTTGCTGTTACCAGTCCAAATTGCACAATGGGGWGGTAAAAATCCTTGGTAAAGAGGGTAAAGGTTGCAGCAACTCTCTACACTTGGTAYGTAATTTAACTTTGACCTTTTGGAAGGGAATGGAATGGGATGATAGACATAGGAGGAATCTAGCTTTGTATTTTTGAGCTTGGAAAACACTAGCATGCTCTCTCTGCTGTATTGTCCATTAATAACAGTTTTCGGCGTGCAGTAGCTGCTTCTTAAGCTCATTCTAAGGGGAAAAAAACATTAGAGTGAAGAAAGCTGCCTTATGTGCAGCTGCCCACTTGAAWATGAAATCCCAGTCTTTTGAATGAAATATAACGTGAATGTAGGAGTGTTTGTGCTCAGGAGATAAAAACCCTTTACACTTCCTCCAAAGCTGATTGTAACACATGATAAGAAGCTAGTGTCCACGTCTTTAAAGAAGCTTTTAAMAGAAGCCTTAGCCAGTTCCTTTCACCTCTCTTCCTCATATGAGTGCAATRTCACTGCAATAAACTGTTTACATATTCTATTRTATTTGAACTATGAATGCAGCAATTATATGGTACCGGGAACAAAAGAACACAAGATGCATTTGCAAGTTTTTTTTTCTTATGAAATGATACAGAGTTTGAGTAAAAAATCAGTACTGTAATTATTATCAAAATAATATGCTGTTTTCTATATGTGATTACTTTGAGGGATTAAACAAATCCAAATGATAGGTTCTGACACTGGTAATACAATTTGCTTCCATTCTACGAAAGTATTTCYACTGCAGGCTCACAGCTGTTCCACTTTTCGGACAAAYTGCATGATGTCTTGTGCCAGAAGTTTTGGTTCCTGAAAGGCAGCAAAATGCCCTCCACGTGGCATGTAAGAGTAAGTGATGATGTTCTTGTAGACATCCTTTGCCCAGACACGTGGCGTATGTAAAATCTCCTGAGGAAAAGCTGCAATCCCTGTGGGAACGTACACACCAACCCTAGAAGACATAAGTTAATTGCATACATGAGACATATTTTGGGGGAAATCTATGAAACCTGTGACTCTGGTAACACATTCAGCTGGAGAAGTTTCTGGTAACACATTCAGCTAGAGAAGTTTTCCCACTGTGCAGTGCTTTTTGTGATCTGCACTCTGTCAAAGAGCTTCACTTCTRTTTGGGTATCCTTGAGTTTAAGAAGGTTTTACTTGAAGAGGTGTAAAGTAGAGCCAGCTTTGCACACAGGTTGATCTGGAAGTGTTTCCCACCTCTGAGCTTACCTTTTGTAAGCTTTGCAGTTTTGTGCTACATGACAAGGTGACACACCTCTTTGAGAAGTCCAGCTCCTGTTTACTTTACATTGTATGGTACCAAATGCATAACTAATAACTCTCTGGAGAGGAAAGGGGAGCTGGTCCAGTCCACAAAGACGAAGAGACACCATTTGTTYAGATGAACAGTTGCTTGGAGAAGTCTGGTCAGCCTTTCTTAGAATCAGCCTCTCTTAATGTAAAAGCTGTCAGGAGGTGCTGGGTTTCAAGTACTGCTCTRCAAATTGCTACCCCAAGTTTGTGCCTAACTGTTGTGGTTCTTAGCTTATCCTCCAGCAAGCCACAGCCTTCCTAATTCAGTTTAAACTTCTCTCTTAGTTTCTCTTTCATGTGCCCATGATTTTCTGTTTTGTTTTTACTGAACCTAGCTACAAGTCACATTTGTTTGGTGAATAAGTATATAGACTAACATTTAGAACACTAAAATGTGYTTGGTGCTTTCATAAGTCTTTTGCATTGTCTTGGCTGCAAGCTCACTTGTGTGATTATAGGTTCAAAAGAAAAGTGACCCATAACTATATTCATCAAAAGCAAACAAGAATATGAATTTTAATTTTTTTTAGAACTAATTAAACTTACTGTTGTAAGTGATCTAACTGTTCATACAGGCAAATGTTTCAATCTCATTGGCACATCTGTCTTGCACTTTGCCACTTTATTACCTGCTAAGAGYAGTCAGATTGGGGTCCTTGGAGAAGTTTTCCTTGTAGAATCGCATTGAGGAGACAATGGATGATGTCACCCAGTAAATCATCACATTGGTCAAAAGTTCATCAAGAGAGTATTTGCTGTTGAGAGAGAGAAATTAAGAAATTTAACTGGAAGCTGTTTCTCAGTGCTCTGTCCTGGGCTCATGCCCTAAAGAACTGCTGTTCCTCCTAATCTCCACTTGTTTTCAAGCAGCAAATTAACTGGCACCCATGAGCCCAGAGCAAAACTGCCTGGTGCTGAATTAGAGGTGTGCAGGCAAGTTTAAACTACTGCTTGTCATGTGCAACCTTTCGTCCTTCAATTTCAGCTTTCACTAGTGTGCAYCAGTCATTCTTTCAATGAGAATACGCACGGATCACCATCAGTTTTCTTACCTTTCCAAGCCTCCATCGTCTTTATGCAGGAATGATTTGTCTGTCCAGGTAGAGAATTTCTCCAAGATATATGCAGCAAGCCCCACTGGGGAGTCATTCAATCCACAACCTAATTCAGGAGAAGATCTGTCAGTTGCCTGGCATTGCAATAGTTCAGTGCAACTTCCATGAAGATTTCAGAATTTTCTAGAGAATTCAGTAGAGAGTCTGTATTTATCTATCCCTGATACTACTTTATTCACCACAAATTCCTTGCAAAGGAATTCTGGCTCTAACTGAGGGCACTACWAAGTCAGGTAATTCCTGAAGAAAGAAGCTAAGAGCTAAGAAGTCCCACTGGCTTCTTGGTGRTGTGTGGCAGAAGGAGCAAATTCAGATGTAAAGAGACAACACTCCAAAAATAAATTTCAGATAAAATATTTGGGAACACCATCTTGCTTAGGATGGGCAACCAGGACCTGGAATGCTGTTCATCACCATTTATCTAATTTAAGCAGTGGAGTGCTGTGTACTTGTTACCTGTTCCTGCCCTGCTGAGTACTGGCAAAAGCTGTAGCTATAGCAGGTGCTCAGCATGTTCCCTTTTTGTTCCTACCAGTAAAACAGGGATAGGAATTACTCAGTAGTCATAGAGACTTTCCTTAAGAAAATTTCTGTATCATTCCCCGGGCTTTAGTTTTATAGTATACTCAGTATTGCCTCCTCAAGTGTATTTTGCTGTGTCTTTGTAGAAGGTGACATGGTCTCTGTTTAATAGTGGRCAKGGGTATAACAAAAAATGTTTGTGCAGAGGCACAGCATTTCCCTTGAGACCACTGGGATTTTCTTTCTCTACTTAAACTGCTTTGGACTTTGTTGATATCAGTTGTTATTGGCTGGTTTTATCAGCAGTCACTTATAAACCTAAGCTTGGATAGCTGTCAATTTTACACCTAATCATTAACTTACTTTCATAGAGATGTTAGGATCTTGTTGAAGTATCAGCATGGATTTTTGTGATACTGTCCCTCTTCTAGAACTTGTTTATTYATTCTTATGTTTGGATTCTCATGTTAACTAGTTTTAATGCTTTTCTTAAGGCAGGTCAATTTCTTAAGAATGGTAGGAGAGGAATTTCAACAAAACTAGGTTTGGAAGTTATATAGATGCCATTATTGGAGCCACAGCTCTTTGATTCTATCYGAGCTCTGATTCTTGAAGCATGACTTCCCTGTGATATTATCACCTGAAAATCAARTCTCATTAAAAAATTCAGTCAGATTTTGGAGCAGAGACTAGCAACAGTAATCTTAATTTTTCTGGGGGTACCTTCACCTTTTGGCCCTTAAAAAAATACCCAACAACCAGAAACAACACCACCCCCATGACTCCCTCCCAYCTGTTTCTCTCCTTTTATTTCTTTGTTAGGTGATCACCACAAGCAACAGGCTAGACATTAATCGACATTCCTGTTGGAGCTGCTTCTTCTTCAGTGAAGTGACAGGATGGAGGGCTGTTTGTTCTCTGATTGCCACACTGGACACCAGCCTGAGACAGTTCTGCTGTCTCTCCTGATGTGGGATTATTTCAATAAAGCAATACCCCAGAATCCTCTCTAGTGGGGGCTGATGCATAGAATTCCTTTAATTGTTATGAAATGGCCGTTTCTTTCTTCATAGTCTTATCCACTGCTAGCATTCTGGCTTTTCAGGTGTTTGAGCTCTATCTACCTTTCCAGAACTTTAACATGCCRCTAACTTGTTTCTGAGATTTTTCTTGTTTTCAACCACATTTACTTTTCAAGGCTTCAATCTCAGGACCCTGTGTTTTACTTTGAGAGACTTTTTGGAAAGGGGYTCATGCCCAAGAGAATTGGCATGCTATTTAAAAGATCTTGAAAAGTGATKCTTGAAATTTCCATCTTTTTTTGAGCAGTCCCTTTTAACTTCCTTTTACACAGTTCATGTCCCCATGAACTCTTTGCCCACATGGATCTTGCACTCAGTTACCAGAACTCATTTCTTCTCAAACCTGGCTGGCCTTTGTTTTCATATACTGTGAGTAATTAATTTACCATGTTCACAGGGATACARAGAAGGTACATTACCTGCAGTGTCTGGCTTGGTGGCTTGGATGTGTAAGTATCCAGACTCTCGCAGGACATCATACACATTCTTCTGCATGAAAGGGTAGACACGTCGAGCATCTTCCCTACTGAGACCTACGAGCCATGGTACATAAGCCCCAAGCATTATACAAATCATCCTTCCCAAACCTTGTTTGCCGGTGAAAACCATATTCAGATGAAGTCCTTTCACAGATCTAAAAGTAAGTTAAGATACAAAAGTTTAAATCGAGCAATATTCGGTCTCCAAATTTTCTAGAAAACAAGTCTGACTGCAGCTGTGAGAGATGCACAGACTGAGCCAAATACACAAAGCATTTCAGGTTCATCGTGATTAAAAAAAAAAAAAAA